TGACTTCCATGGCTCTGGTCGGTGTTGTTCTCATGGCTCCTGTTACGTTGAGACATGCTGTCCTTTGAATTTGTTCTAGTTAACGGATAGCTGTTAATTTTTGGGTTTTATCAAGCTAGAAATAATAGAAACTAAACCCTCACTTTTTATTACTTCATACCTAAAAATTGTCAAAAAATGTCAAAGAAAAAACATGTTATATTAATTTCAGTGTGAAAAAAAAATAGATTTGGTTACAGTATGATAACCAATGTATCCTTCGAAATAAAGTTGAGACGCTTAATTATATTTGCACGCGAGGGAAATAAGGAGAAACTCTCGTGAATCGGCTGCCTGCCTGCCTGCCTGCCTGCCTGCCTGCCGTGATTGGACAGATTGTTCTATACTGTTTGTCTGGCATTATTTTAAGAAAGTAAACATATTGTATACTTGATTTTATCTATTTACTTCAGTAATATATTATGTTAAGATCACATAATAGTTCAAAAACTATGTAATTTAGTCATAAATAAAAAGCACGCAAAACATTAAGCGAATCTACCGTCACTTTTAACTTTAATTGGCATAGAAATTACGTCTTCGCTAATACTGCGTATCGTATGTTGTGTATGACTTTGTATTACATGAGATTTTTATTGGAAAATTACATTTTACAATTGGTTAGATAATGAAACAAAGCAGAAAATTTTGCAAATATAAAAAGCAGAAAATACTGAAAGAGTACTTAAACCAAAGTGGAAAAGTGAGGTGTTAAAATGGCTAAAGAAAGCCACTTTTTTATTAAATTTACGAGCAAAATGGCGAGTATTTAAATAGATAAATTTTAACAACATAATGTATTGTTTCTATATCAATAAAGGCATTTTTTTATAACCTTACTACAACATACTTGGTAAAAGTATTGCGGTTACGCTGGTGACGTCACACTTACCGTGGTAACGTAATACATGTAATGTCATATGTTAAAATTGAGGATTTCTAAACCAAATTTGAATTTTAGGATGTTTTTGGATTTATTTATTTAAAATGATGTTCACCTCCAACAACAATAAGAAAGATTCTACTGTATTACATTTGTATTAAAATAACAACACTGAATATGTGTGCCAATATTCTTATACAGGGTGCCCCAATAGTGCGTAATTGTTTAATATTTTAATTTGTGTCACTGACACGCAAACAAGTTTCAAATAAAAGTTATATAGATTTAAAAAATACATATTTTACATATTTTTCAATATACAGGGTTGTGCGTTTTGATCTGGCAAATAAAAATGTATATTTTTTTAAATGGAACACCCTGTATTTTATTTCGGTTTTAGAATGATTTGGTAATGGTTCAGTAGATTTTTTTTAAATATTACAGTATTGCCAAGCAATTATTTTTTTATGAAATTAGAAAATGATGCAGACCCCAAATTAAATTATCATAATTTAGGTAGGTGTTTTCGATGATTTCAAAATTATTTTAAATACAAACTTATAAGATACTAAGCTATATCGAATAGTGGTGATATAACTGGTTTATTTTATACAGAGTGTCTTGAAACATGTCTTAAATATGGCCAATTTTAATTTCAATTTACTCAATTTTTCAAATACAACTCACTGTATATTATTTAAGCATATAATTTCTTAAAAATGTACCTATCCAACGATACCAACATGTTAGCCAATAGCACATATACAGGGTGTCCCATCAGTGCGTAATTTATCGATACAGCTGTTTAATTATTGGAAATTTGCCCGCCCATATAATATATTGTTTCACGAGTGACGAAAATAACATTTTTTGAAGCGAGAGAACAATTTACCAATCACGGCGAAGCCGAGGTTGGTAATGTTCGCGAGCTTCAAAAAATGATTTTCGACGAGTAAAACACTATACTTTTTCTACGAACTCTATTATGTCATGTAGGTACCTACTATAATAAAAAAAAAAAAAACAAACATTAGCAAATGCTTTATTTTGTGTTAGGAATAACAAAAAATTAACCAACAATTAAATATTTCAGAAATATTATTTATTATTTAAATATTGATTTATTGTTATATTTGAACAATTGTTCAAAATTATGGGGGTATCACACTCAAGCTTTTTATTTATTGAGGTAGATGCCGACATATTTGTTCTACTGTTAAATGTCATTTCAGATGATGATGATGCGCCATAATCGGATGAACTAGTAGTTTCCTTATTTTGTACAGATTGTAAAATTTTGGTTCGTATTTGGTTTTTACTGTTCGTGGATTCATCAACATATCCTTCCGCAACACTACTAGATTTCCAACCACCGTGCTTTTTTAACAGAAGCAAGTCACCTCCTGCATCCACTAATAGCGTTGCGGATGTTCTGCGGAAACAGTGCCCAGTGTAATCTTGAGGATTCGGAAGAGTTAAAAACTGAGCAATTTCGTTAGGAAATTTACTGATTTTATTAATTCCAACAACCTGTCTGCTACACTTTCCATTCTGATAGTTAATAAAGAATCTTGAATTAATTTGATCCATGTTTGCGGGACGTAGGCTCATATATTTTTTAGAAATATCATAAAAGGGTCCAGAAATATGAAAAGAACGCGGAACTTTTGTTTTTGTATTACGGATTTTAACTAACAGAATACTTCCAGTATCCTTTACATCGCTTATTGTTAAATCTTTTAGTTCGTGGCAACGACAAGCGCCAGATAATCCAAAAACTAATGCTACCTACAAATATTAGTAATTATGTATTAAGTATTTGTTAAAATAAAAATAATAATTCCGTTACCTTTGTTATTAAATATTTATAGTTAGGTGCATTCTTTAGGAAAGACTTTATGTCTTCAGGCGAAAAAATTTTGGATTTTTGGCTTTTAAAACCATCAGATTTTCTTTTCAAAAGCGAACGTAACTTTGGATATTTACTAATATCGACATCATTTTTAACAGAGAGTGTAGTTCTTAGCATCGAATAAATGGACCATAACGTCGACGGTTTAAAATTTGAACATATTTCTCCAAAGTATGCTAGTAGTACAGTTTCCGAAAATTATTTCACTTTATTTTTTTCTCTCCAGTCCAAAAATTTGATATAAATTTCTTCATATCTCTTTTTTGATTTGGCCGGTAATAAATCTGAAGAGGTTTCTTCAGCTTTAAAAATAATTTCTGGGGGAGTACAATCGCTTTCTGACTCAGACATCATGAAAATGTGTTAAATTTAGGACGAACTGAAACTGACAGTTCTCAAAAGTGATAAAACTTCAAATAAACAAATGAAAACCAGGAAACTAGATGAAGATTGGTTTAATTTGCACTATTTTTATACATTTTTATTTTATCTTTAATTCATTAAAGTTTAGGTAAAAACGCATATAGAATTTAATGAGCATCTTTTTATTTCATTATTAATAATTATAAGCTGCCAAAATATTATACGAGGCGACTGATATATGAATATATGTAACAACTTACTTTCGTCACTAGAGACGAAAGTAAACGTTATGGGATTTTTTCTCACTAGTGACGGAAATCAAGTTTTCGCTGAAAGTATCCTGTGGCGAAAGATGTCTTTTTGTAAGAGTTCGTAGAAAAAAATATTTTTTTCCATTACCTACCCATTAAATAATTGTGCTTTTTCTCCTTAAGCCTGTGCAAGTAAAACTATTTGATCCTTTTATCCCTTACTCCAGCTCATATGTAATATTATTTGGCACATTTATACCTTAAGTCTAATCATGTAAAAATATTTGGTAACTTTTTCCCTTAAGTCAGGCCATATCAAAATATTCGATCCCTTTACCTCTTATGCCTGCGCCTACAAGTGAAAATATTTGAGTCATTTACGCTTTAAGCCTGTTCTTTTAAAAATGTTTGAACCCATTACATCTTTACCCATTAAGCCTACCCATGTGAAAATATTTGGTCCCTTTATTACCTCTTAATATTTAGCTCTTTTACCCTGTACGTCGACCTATATAAAAATATTTGGTCCTGAATCCTTTAAACTCCCCTGTATAAAAATATTTTGGATTTTACCCGGCAATCTTGCCCTTGTAAAAATAATATTTGGGCCTTTTACATTTTTATTTTATTATTAAATTCAGTATATGAGCTTCATTCTGGAATTCGTTATAGTTTCGTGCAAAACTCATAGTTACTTCATCCTCCTGTAGGTTTTTTGGCGTAAGAGCAATTTAAAACAATTATTGTCACTTATCTAGCACTTTCACTTACAATGAATAAAGACTCAAAACTCAAATTAAACCCTTTAAATGACGTTCTAAAAAATTTCTCTCATTTACTTGATTTTTAAGAATTACAGTAATATAAAAAAATGTATGTGGTTTCAGAGTTGACATATATGGTAATCTATTGAAATCGTAACATCCAGTAACAGTGTCGCAGTGTATAAAATATGCTCCATAAGAAATACATTGCATTTTAAAAATACTGATATTAAGGCACTATAAAGTTAAACTGAAAATTCTGAAAATAATCGGAACTTTATTCTATATTTCCGAGATATGTCAGAAAAAATCAATTTCTCTGAGTTTTAAGTCGAAAAAATCTATTTTTTTTTGAGTTGTAAGTCAGAAAAATCGGTTTTTCCCAGTTTTGAGTTGGAATCATCTCTTTTTCCGAGTAATAAGTCGGAAAAATAAAATAATAAATATTTTGTTGACCATATACGCTTCCGTAGTGGCGTTTTACATAGTAGGCTGTGGTATTTATCAATACTACCTCGTAGGTACTTTATTCGGACAGAAAATGGCTACGGCTAAATCCCTTTCATTTTATTACCAACCTTCCAACGCCTTTACGTTAGATAACTAGTGAAAACGTAGTGTATATGATGTGGCCTATATTATGTTATGTACAATCAAGGAGGCTTTTATAATAACCTTCTGATAAATGTTAAAAGTACAAAATTCGTTAACATTTGAAGTTATGAACATTCGGTAAGTATACCGAATCTTTAGTGATAGATTTATAAGTAATTGTTTCAGAATCTTACCTTCTTGTCGTTCCAAGCAACTAAAAAAAGCTATTTCATCGCTTTGTCTACATCCTTTGGTTAAATCGAAACTAGAAGTGGCTGTTATACAGGCTCTTCTGCAGCTCTCACTGTGTGGAAGTGGGCAGCAAATTCTACCAGACCACGGATCACCCCTGGACATATCTGAAAAAAAAGGAATATAAACATAAATTGTATTTATTATGAAATTTTTTATTTTTATTATATGAAAATAATTCGAAGTTTTGTAGGTATAAGGTGATTTTTTATCAAATATTTTCCTATTTAATGACAAAGACATTTTTTTTTTAAATAGTCGAGAGGTCCATCATTGGTACATGCATCGGTGCCTATGTTGGCTGCCTTTAAAATAAGTGAATAAAAGTGTCTTTTTAAAGTTTTATTAGACAAAATATAAAACAAACAAACAAATATAATAAAACATTAGGTACATATCACACCAATAAAAGATTTGCACCGAAGTTACCAGCAGTGACAGCGCATTCATTGTGGCACCACGACTTTTTTGTCAATGAATCCACTTTTTTCTTGCACGTGAGTGCGAGTATAACTTATTGCAGTACATGCAACAAGCATCATCTTAGTCGAATTGTCTTTTTTTTTTAATTCCTCTAAGGCGGATTCATATTCATCAGAACTGTCATTTTCAATGACAAGTTGCCGTTTTACTGCCATGTCTTGTTGGTTTCTCATCTTCGCTTTCTTTTCGATTACTTTCTCTTTATACTCATGAATTTCTGGTGTTAAATTCAAATGGCCCGTTTTACCACGTCTTCTGCCTTCTCTTTTATCAGCGCCAATGGCTATAGTTTGAGAGTGAGGTAAAATTTATTTCAGCGAAATATCGAAAACTGGCCAAAAAGACAAGTTAAGACCAGATGTAGATGGGTTTTGAATTGTCTAATTTTATTTGGTTTTCAATATCGTTTTGATCCTCGGGAATCTGCTTATCAGTTACTAAAGGTGGTGCAAACTTCCAGTCATTATTAACATGAGGATTAAAAGAATGGTCTTTTCGGACAAATTTATTGCATTGAGGAGACCTGCTATTTTGAATTGAGTTACTGCCTTTCCCGGGTTTTGACGCAGCCACAATTGAATTTCTTGATCGAAATATGTAATAAGTGGTCAGCAGAATCCAATGGATAAACGCGATAAGAACAATGTGCAGGAAAGCAGAACGTAATAACACCATTTTCTTTTGCATCTAGGATTAAAAGAACCTTATTTTCATTATCTTACAAAATGCTTTAGCCATTTATAAAAAAATCCACTGGTAATCCAATCTTTTTCTTCTGCAAAAGCTATTCTACCAGCGGAAGCAACATTCATAAGATCATCGTTCATCCTTTAACGAGGGCAAATAAGAGCAGAAGGGACGTAAGTGTCCATGGTATTAATTGCACACACTACGGTTACGTTTTGCCTACGATCTGCACTACTAAATGTGCCAATTTGCTTGCGGCCTATTGCAGCGTAAATGTATGGCATTTCTTTTGGACCGTTGTCGAACTTGACTCATCCATATTATACATATTTATTTTGTGGAAGAAATTTGTACTGCTTTAAAGTATTAGATATGTAATTAAATAGGCCAACATTTAGCTTGTTAGAAACCTGGTTTTAGGTAATGATGTACTTTCTGGGCTTCGTAAAGATATTCGTAGAATGCCCATTAGGAATCTCCTAACCCATTTGCAGTCTACAGAATTTATTTTGATGTTAAAACAATGCTCTATTATTATTTTTTTCGGCTACTTCAAATACCATCCACCGAAAATATTTAGAAGTAAGTCCAAACAAACGTGTTTCTATATTAATAATGGGTGGCACAAAATTGATTGAAAACATTTGATCCTAATACATTTGATCGAAAACATTTGATCGGAAAAACATTTTATCGAATAACAACTGATCGAAAAGAAAAATCATCCAAAGAACAATGATCGAAAAGAAAATTGATCGAACGTAGATTTGATAGAAAAAGCAATTGATCGAAAAACCAAAAATGTGAGAGAGCACTCAGTTAAATTTAAATAGCTTCAGGCCACATAGGTTAGGTAAATTAGTTAAGTTTTTTATATATCTCATTTTTGTATATATTTCTGCGAAGCAACCCTCGACGGCTCCAGGCTGCACAGGTTAGGTAAATTAGTAACGTTCTTCTTATTTTTCTCATTTGTGTAATTTTTTTAAATCAGCCCTCGACTGCCTCAGGCCGCATAGGTTAGGTAAAGTAGTTAAGGTAAAAAAAAAAACTTAAAATAATTTAATTTCGGTGGATGGTCGTTTAGCTCTGAAAATATGAATTGTTAAATTAACAGTATTGTAGGTAAAAATTTGTTTGAGATTATCGAAAAATTTGTCAATAGTACCTAATTTGACGATAGCTTCTGAGTTTAGTTTCCCCGATAAAAGGGATTAGACCGTTGTATGGTATCGTTTGATTTTTTTTTATATTTTACTATTTTTAATGTTGATTTTCGATATATTGTTCTTCTGATCTAATGCATTTTAGATCTATTGTCTTTTCGATAAAATATTCGATAAAATATACCTTTGTGCAAATATTATTCGATAATAGCTATTTGTGTATTAAGAGCGAAAAGTGATATTTTGCCGCTTGAGACGAAAGTAGTAACGAACTTTTTGCTCAAAATGCACACAAGATTTTTTCTACGATCAAGCTTTTTTAAGAAATAGGTATAAAAACAGAAAATTTGTCGTCAGTAGTGTATAATATGTTGCCTGTACCTACGTCAATCATAAAAAAAGCAGTTGATATTTAAAGTCCATGTTAACTTGGATAATATAACAAAAAAAAAGCCATTTTTACACCCATATAATAATTAAAAAATGAATAAATATTAAAGAAATCAATAACTTTACTAATGCAATTTCTTAAATATCACTTTAATACAATGTATGATCAAATACAGGGATAATTGTTATAAATATATAAAGTTAAAGCTAAATTTGAATATTAAGAGGCGGTGTAAATCTGGCTTTGATAATAAATTAGGTTATGTTGCTGTTGCACTAAAACATGACAGATATTTTTCTGAAAAATGTGGGCGAGTAAAATTTAATTAATCTTAATTGTAATTTATAACTAAAAATATACTGAGGTTCTAAGGATGTCATTAACTTATAATGCCTTCATCAAATTCACTTGCATAAATAAATGTAATTACTGATGTTTTGATTAAACCATCTTTTTCAAATATAACTTCAGCTAAAAGAATGCTAGAACTTTTTAATGATAAAATTGAATGTATCGAGGAACCTTTAATAAAGAAACCGCGTGTAAGAAATGGGAAGTGTGTACAGGCAATTTACGAGCAGGTAATAATAGCTTCGTTCGCGGTAACAATCCTGAACTGATTCAGAATTACTAGTTCATACTTTGAGCGCATGCCCGAATCATTATCAATTCTGAATTTTTACCGCGCGCGCAATCCCTATTATATCTCGGTGTTTCAGGTATAGATAAGCGGTTTAAAACCAATAATAATTTTACGGCGAACGCAGGATAGAACCAATAGTTCAGTTCTTTTTGTTCCGCGAATGCTTTTTAACTACTTCGCCTGCGAAATCGTTATTGTTAGTGATAATTCGGTTTAGGACTCTTACCGCGAACAAAGCTTTATATAGAACCTTATCATAGGTATACACATTTAAAAGAATATGATAAAAAAGGCATTTGATTTAAGCTCAAAATGAAATTGTTCAATTTTTGGGTAATATTTATGAATATATTTATCAAATACTACCCCAAATATGGAATGCATTGTTAAAAAACTAATTTTATATTTTTCGAACATGTTAATTTTGCATGGTTCGCTTGTCAAGAGCATAAATCAGATGTTTTTTTTTTTTAATTATTTAAAATTTGTGTACCTTTTATTATAAGAAACTAAAGATAAGATACACTGCCCCTTTATTATTTTGTTTTGTTTTAGATATCCCTTATCCCTCTGTATGGAGACTTTTGCAATGGGTATTGCAATTAAGCTGGACTGAAATAGATGGATATATGGGTAAAAGCACGATACACAGACTAACGGTATGTTCCTACGCGTGCAGCTGACTGACGGTGACGTCACGTGGGACATAGAATTGTAAGCATTAAATGGGAGAAAGTGTTTAAAATTCGATATTTTGCCATTTTAGATTTTATGCAGTTACTTAAGCTTTATTGATTATTTTGTAATATATTCGTTTACAAATATGAAGGTTTAAGATAAATAATACTAATAAAAATATTAATTTTTCTTATAAATCTTAGGTATTATGTGACAAAATCCATAACCTGGCCATAAGATAAGTAAAAGATATGGACTAAAAATACAAGTTTGACTCAAATTTGTACTTTCTGGGCGTAGTAGTTCTCTTGCAATCTCTTTTCTTATTATGTGAAATAAAACTAAAGTGTGCAGAAACAAATTATTTATTTACAAAAAGTAAGCACACAATTTTCCTGTTCATTTATCTTATTCTTATATATGTTCGTGTCCTGCTCATGCATGGCATTGCTTCAAAAGGACCGTTGTATTGGGACAGGAAACTACTGTTTTATCTGCTAAAATACCGATTTATTTTCTTTGCTTAATGAGGCCCGTGCACCTGGTGTAATTCAGTTTCCTTTTCTTGCGTCTATGTTTAAGAGGAATCTCACAACTAATTTCCTCAAAATGGATAGGGCAATTTCAATTAAGTTTGTCCTTTCTTCGATAAGAATTTACCCATATTTTGTGGCATTCGGAAATATCTCCACTGCGCAGTCCGGTATTTTAAACATTAATTTAGTTCTTCCTGTTATATATAGGAAAATATAGTCACTACTAACACAAAAACATATAAATCATTAAGTTATTTTACACTACAGTTCATCAAATTTCTAGAGGCTTTCGACGGCTAGACAGAGAAAGCACTACTGACAGGCATCCCGACGGATTTACGCAATGAAAGTACACTCTGCGCATCAAGTATTTCACTATTTCATTCAGACGTAAATGTCAGATGTAAATTTCGCTAAAACATTTCTTTTATTTTCGTTTGTGTTTTTTGCTCATTACAGTTTAATAGAACCTAAGTACGGAGTTTAATAGCAAATTAAGAGGCCGCGTGATTAACAGTCAATC